AAAAAAAAAAAAAAAAAAAAAAAAAAAAAAAAAAAAAAAAAAAAAAAAAAAAAAAAAAAAAAAAAAAAAAAAAAAAAAAAAAAAAAAAATCTGATGCAAATCTTCTGCAAGAGAAATTATTTTTAGACAAGTAACAAGTAAATGGGGACGTAAACAGACAACATCCAAAGTTCTACCGCATAATCTCCTTGAAGATGCTCCAGTGACACGACTAAAGAACTCGGTCATACAGGGCACAAATCAGCTTTTCTGCTCCCTACCTGATGTTATTTTAAGAAGGGGGGAGGGAAGGAGCGAGGAGACTAATCCCTTTGCGGGCAGCTTGACAATAATATTATCCTAGTTCAAAACTCACAGCCGGACGCGCTCGATGCCACAGCCCGCACAGGAGGCGAGGGGCTGCCATGCACCGGCAGCTCCAGCGGGAAGGACGGCAAAAGACGGGATTCGGAACAAACGCAGCCTGCAAGCCCGCGCCTCTCCTCTTCCAAGGAAGCCAAGTCCGACAAACAAAAACACGTATTTTCTTTCCACCTTTTTCCCGTCGCTATGCCCGCTAGGCAACCTGCTGCCGCCGAGTGCGGGCTGGCACAGCGCAGCCCTCCACACACACCCTCTCACTCCCTCCTGCCCGCCCTCACAGAGTCCCTGAGCAGCACACACAGCATCTACACCGAGCCTGGGACACGGACACACGGACACACGGACACGGACACACGGACACACATCCCAGTGGAGCGGGAGAAGGGAGACGGAGCCCGGCGGGGGCTTACTTGGGTGGGAGACGACAGCTCCCTGGCACAGTGCAGTCTGAGCCGCCCCGGGGCGGCAGCCCCGCTTCCTCACAGGAGCTCCTGGCTGAGTCGCGGCCCGAGGCACAGAGGCACAGAGCAGCGGGACTACAGGCGCACTCCCACCGCCGCCGCCATCTCCAGCATCCTCCTCTCCCCGCCGCCGGCACCGACCGCTCACCGCCCCACGCCCCGCCCAGGGGAGAGCTTGGGAAATGTAGTTTGGGAAACGGCGCCATGGGCCGTTGGGCTCTCTCACTTCGTCCTGTATTTGGGGGGAAGAGCAAAGAAAAGAAAATTTTCTTTTGTATTTTCTGAGAGGATAAAAAAATAAAAGCAACCACCCCTAAGCATTCGGTGCCTTGTTCTTTTTCTTCTTCAAACCCCTCACTCTCGAGGCGCCCAGCTCCACCCGTGCATCCAGCCCTTCCCTCCCCCTTCCCCCTGTGGCGTGGTACGGCCGTGAGGGGCCGGGACGGCGGGGCGCGTGCGGCGCCGTCGTTGCCGACCCGGCGGTCGGTCAGGGGGACCCGGCGGGATCGCGCTCCTTCGCCCACACCGAGGGGCGCAGCCGCGCTTCGTCCCCGGGAACTACTGCCATGGACAGGACCGCCGTGGCCAAGATGGGAGCGGTGGCGAGCGCCAGCGTGTGCGCGCTGGTGGGCGGGGTGGTGCTGGCGCAGTACATCTTCACCATGAAGAAGAAGACGGGTAAGAAGACCAAGATCATCGAGATGGTACGTGGTAAGAGGCCGAGGGTCGCTCGGTCCCCGGGCGCACGCCCTTCTCCTTGTCCTTCTCCTGCGGCCGGCGGCTCCGCACGGCCGCTCCCGGGGAGCCGGGCGGATATCCCGAGGGGATATCTGGAGGGGCAGAAGGGGGACCTTGAGCTCAGTTTGGGATTTCTGTGAGGACAGGCGCTGGAGGCAGGAGCAGCTGTTCCTTCCACCTCAGCGTGACCCACTAGCACGGAAAAGGTGCGTGTGGGAAGGGGCTGCGCCGTCCTGCCCTGCCCGGCCCTTAGGTACCTGTAGGATGCATACGTACCCGTGGGTCTCGGTGGTAATTTACAAGCCTGCTTGCAATTTGTTTAAAAGAAAAATGGACACGCACACACACGTGCTCAACCATCTGTTGAAACTGGGAAGCACAGTCTGTTCACGGTTACTATAAAAGGAAGATGGAGCTCGCTCTCTCTAGCTGCCCTTGTTAAACTTGTTGTTTGGGAATTTGTTTAAATATCTGCTTATAAATAACTGGGTCGTAAAAGATCTTAGTTTGGACGACGTGCTGATTATGTGGAAGTCCGTCAAATTTTGTGATTTGGACACCGCCGTACCAAAAAATTGAACTGAAATCGTCAAGGCACTTGATGTTAGCTAGTGGGTATTTTGTGATGTCCCCTGCTGAATTTTACTGAAAGCTCTGATGGATTTCTATAATTACACATGGAAGCAGATTTTAGTAAGAGCTAGGATTCTCTATGTAAATTGCGAGCTGCCTAAGTACTCACTTGGCCACGCATTGCCAGGCCTGCCGGTGGAATTCATGCAGTGCAGTTTGTAATAACGTGGGTCCAAAGAAGAATTCTACTTTGAGTTTTTGCTAATTGTAGAGGCATCATTTACTGTTAAAAAAAATACTGTTTCTAGTCATCAGTCATGTCATCTAACAATTAGGAGGGGAATGGGTTGTTTTTTAGTTTCTCCAAGCACTGTTCCAACAGCGTAAGGGAGAGCAGAAAGTTTGGATTGCCACTTCAGCTAGCACACATCCTTAGGTCTAAAGATGCAGGTCTTCTTTCTTAAGTAGCATTTTCAGTGGACACATGTATTCAGGCTGTTGAATTTCTTTGAAATACGTGAAGTAGTTTCGTAAACTTCATACCAAGGCACTGAGTTTGTCAAGTATGGGCAAAAATGTGTACATGTGTTTCATTTGAATATGCTGCATTCTGAAGAACTTTCTTTTATCCACCAATGCAGATTTGATTCAATGTTTGTCATTTACAAGACACTGTGTGAGTTTTATTTTATGACAAGAGAGACCTTTCTTTGAGCTGTGGAGGAGAAGATGCTTTTTCCAGTCTGCAACTTAGTGTTATTTAGGATGGTGGTAAGAAACAATACTGCCTTATTGAAATGTATTTTCTTTCAATACTTGGCTGGTCTTTTGTGTTAGATTAAAATTGTGGGATAGTTCCTGCATATTCATAAGATTTTTTTGGTTCAAATTTTTTTTGGGGAACATTACAGTTTAGTTTTATATCCACATTAGACTCAGAATTACCTTGATGTATAGCTTTTATCAAAAGCATTAGGGAGCAGGCCTCTTTACACCTTAGTTGTGTGAATGAAATCTATTTCATTATAATCAATTACAGCATTTTTTTTTCTTAGTCAAAACAAAGTGAGATGAATACAAAACCCAAGTATAATTTAAAAAAATACAGCTATCTTTAAGTGCTAAAAATACAGGGACTTTTACAAAATCAAATTGAACATCTATAAGACAAGTTAATATCAAGGATTATGATGCCAAGAATGTTTATTGTGAAGAAAAGTGGAAAGGATTCTCAAGCATTGTGGGAAAGTGTACCCCTCTTTCCTGCTGAATAATGAAATCAAGTAATTCTTAAATATCTAGCTCATATTTCAGTAGATGAATTCCTTAAGGACACCAATTAGCCTGGTGGAGAAATTTAAGCTTAATGGAGACACCTTAAAATTACTTCATCCTAGTTGATAAAAAAGGCTTAAAATTACAATTAAAATGTTAATATTGTGTCTTCATCCACAGTGTGTAGTTTGCAAACAGGGAGTTTCCCTTAGGCACTCATGAATGTAGACAGAGTTACTTCAGCTCCACTTCTGAAGTAACAGAGGCATTAATAGTAATGGCCACATGAAGTTTCACTCTGTGTGGTAAGAAACAACCTTCTCTCCAAGCCTTCTGCTATTACTTTGCACAGACACGTTGCCAATTCTTTGAAACTGTATAGGTGTTTACACAGTCAGGTGAAAGCAAAAGTTAGCCACAAAGTTGCTCATTGTAATTTAAGGAGATGGATAACGATTAATTGGATTTCTTAGTAACTTTCTAGAAAATGTTTCCAGGCTATTTTAGAAAGAGATGAAACTTTATAGTAATGTTCCATCTTTTGGATTTTTTCAAGCCACAGACAAGTTTGCAATTAAGTTGTGTTCCTATATAGTAAATAGTTGTGTTGCCAATAGACTTCAATTTTTGATTACTTTTTTGCTGCGCTTTTGATCAGCTCAGCAGGAAACAACTGTTTACAAACTAGAGTGAAGAACATTGCCTAAATCTTTCAAAAACATTCACTTGTAAACAGTAGCCAAATTAATTAAAATATGGAGTTAAAATGAGAAAAAACTTCTTCGAGGAGTATTTTTTGTTGTCTGTTTCATAAATAAAGTTGTTAAAATCTTGGCGGGGGTTTCAGCAGCTTGTTCCTCACTATTTGGTTTTAGAGCTTTTTATTGTGGCTTTTTTTTCTTAGAATAAGAAACATAATAGAGCTTGTTGGAAACAGAATAGAAGATTACCTTAAACCAAGACTTCCTCTCTCAGGTTTGTTTTCCAGAAAACTGGGCAAATGTCTACTTACATTTGTGTATTTCTCCAATCTGCCCTTGAAGTGAGAGTTGTAATTACATGACAAAGAGACTTTGTATCAAAGTTCAGCAATAACAAATTAAAATCAACTTTAAAGCAGTTTCTCAGTTTACTGGAAACATTTCAGCCACTCAACTATCTCTGGACAGTGCACTTTTTATTGTGTTAAAGGAAAGAAATGCATGGATTTTTGCAATATTATAGTTTACCTGGAGGGAGATAAGAAAATTAATGAGAAGTAAGGTAACTGCTTTTTATCTACTTGCTTAAGAAATAAAGGAACGTATTCTGTGAGTATGTATGTTAGAGGCATCGGGGGTGTATTTTTAAAATTATTATTATTTTCTTTTACCTGGCAGTCTCTAGTGCGACTGTGTTCTTGTTTCATAGGACATAGAGCATTTGTGCCACAGATGAAGCTACAACTGGCAGCAATCACATGCCACTTCTTTATTCTTGTCTTGTTGCTGGTAACTAGTTGTTATAGTAACTGTGACGTTACTCTGGCAGGTTGACCTCCCAGCAGTCAAAAGCAGAGGAGTAGGTAATGTGTAGCATACATATTCAGGAGTCCAAGTGGTTGGTATTTGCAACTCCTTCATATGCGCTTATGCCTGTACAGAGCTGAAGAAGAGTTTAAGATTGAGTGAACTGGAATTACTAAAAGGGGAATGCAAGGAAGATGGACTCCCTCTAATGAAGCCTTTGCAGGACACTGTCACTGTCTGGATGTGCTCAAGAGCCATGCAGTGATATGATCCATTTGGGAATAATATCATTCAAAAGGAATGGTGCTGTGATGTGTGAACGTAAGTAGTGAAAAGTGAAAGAACTCCTGATACCTAATACCACTGCTACCTATTGACATGTGACTGAGATTCCTTCCATTACTAGAGCATTAGAATAATTTTTAGATTATTATTAACATTTTTAAACCAAGTTAAATTTGACATGTATACTGGAGATACTGTATGCTATTTCTATAAACCTTGGTTTTTGTTTAGACCGTATTCTTCAATAGAAAAATCAGTTGTTGGTGGTAGGCACCAATTACTAAAACAAGGTTATTTTGCCCACACACTGTTTGCAGAGATAATAATAATATATGCCACCTAGATAATGCATTATACCAGGCTGCCTAATGTAAACCACTGTGCATCATATAAGTCACCTAACATGTGGCTTGTAAAGCAAGTTTTCAAAGGGCAGGAAAAACCCTAAGGACAATGCATGTTGATATAACTTGGATACTAGTAACAGGTTTTATTCTCACTGTAAAATAATTCAGTTGGAAATTTAGGAAATTTGTATCCCAGGACAACAAAAATTGACTGAATTCCATTGTTTTCTCCTCTTATTGTCAAAATTATGTACATACTAATATTTTACTTCATTTAGTATAGTAGGCTGATCCTGCAATGCAGCTATGTGTTTTTAGTAAGTTTTAATTTTCGGATATTGCTGCTGCCTGTGTTGGGTTTTTTTTTCAATTCAGTAGGTCTTGAAACCTATGTTCTTACAAGGGATGGGTATGGGAAGATTAAATATATAATTATTAGTTTCTTTAGAACTCATTTATGCAAGTTATAACAGTTATCAAAAACATACTGATGATCTGTACCTGAAAACTGAGTTCCAAGTAGTCAGTATAGACATGTCAGGATACAATATAGATTGTAGGTTTAGGCTCAGAAGAGTTTGTTTGCTGCTTTCTTTTTATCTTTTGTATAAAGTCTTTCTCCAAGATAGAAAAGCAATCTTTCAATTACTCGTTCTTATCTGAAATATATTTACCTTTGAATAAATGCTTGCTATGTGTTAAGTCGTATTTTTAAGTGATTTTTCTCCTGTTTGTGATAACTCATTTTTATCAGTTGAGCTATAATGGCATCTGTTCTATTAAACTCTTTTTACAGCTTAAAACCAATAGCAAATACTGCAAGTCTTAAACATGTTTACCTTTAACTGTCAAACAATATAAGCAGTAATAAGGGATTTTTTAGTTTTTAACCTGAATATGTATATCATTGCAAATCTGTTCATATTATGAATTAAAGTTGCATGGCATTCCA